CACATCTAAATCTGAAAAGGAAAAGTTATCATATATTTACAAGGCTAAGTTGGAAGTAGGAGGCAGAAGGAAAAAAATCCTAGTTGCTATCAGTTTTTATTCCAAATTGCATTAGTTCACTAAAAACAAATATTTTAGAAAGAATGTAGTCCCTAACTCTAATAGAAAAATAATACAAACCAGAAGTATATAAATACATATTTTTTATTAAACAATATTAACGTGGCTGCAAATAACAGTTTATATAGCTATATATACATGGATATTTATAGATGAGATTATGCTTATATTCTTGCTCACACCAACATTTTGAAAAATGTTAAGGTAATTTTGCCTTGACTAAAAAACATACAGCAGAATCGGTCTATTTGGCATTCTATTACCCCATCTACAGGTGCCTGTAGCAATGTGTGGTACTATAATATAATGATGTTCATAATTTGGGAGTATCAAAAGATCCTCAAATGTCTTTTAGGTCATCAAAGAAAGATAAAATAATATTTGATACAGTTTCAAAAATTTTGAGATAGTTTTAATGGTGAGTTATTTTGTGGGCCTTTGAGTCTCGAAAAATTGGGAAGTCACTTATGGCATAAAAGCTAATTCTCTTAATTGGAACATGCAATTAACCAGAAAAGCCCATTCTCTGAGCTTGCACTCTAACAGACAATTTGCGGAAGAGGAAACGTGGCCAAGGCAAAACGTTTCCTCTTCTTATAAAGCTTGAACTGAGTATGTCCCTCACCAATTACAGAGGGTCCCCTGGGCCTCAGAACTTTCCACAAGCCTTTAGGTCTCTATGGCGATGCACTCGATTGCTGCAGCGGAAACGCAGGCGATAAGGTGGCGGCAGGCACCGGACAACGACAGGGGAGAAGCTTGGGCTGCAGAAGACCAGGCAGGTCCTTCTCCAGCGTCTAGGACTGACTGCTCCGCCTTGCCGGGCATCCGCAGGGCCACCCGGGCTGGCCTGCCCGGGTTCCTGCTTCTCCAGGAAAGCACGCGCCGGCCGGCAGCTCCCAGCCTGGTTCTGCTGGCTGCAGCTGCGCTGGGGCTGCGGGTCCCCCTGGGACTCCACTTCCTGGGTGCTCAAGCTTCGGCCTTCTCGCGCCCTCAGAGGGCACCACACAGCTGAACGGGGTCCATTTTGCTCAGCCCCCTAGTCTCATGCAGCCCTTCAGCATTCCGGTTCAAATTACGCTCCAGGGCAGCCGGAGGCGCCAGGGGAGGTAAGTCACCACCACGATCTCTCAGCCTAGGGGGTTAGAAGGGGGGCCATATCGAGTTTGGGGGTTGAGTGTGGTCTTTGTCCTCCAAGGATGCCCACTTGCCATGCCTCCTAGGGTACCCCGAAAGCTTCCCCAGTACTGACATCACAGGGCTACATCCTTCCTTGTTGGCTCCTCCCTCTAGGTGGCAAGTTCTTGGAGGCCAGATAGACGGGGGTGGTGAGCGTCCCTCAGCACAGTGTATACTCTCTATGTGCTCTCTCAGCTATGCCATCTGTATACTTTGTAGCTATTGTTATTAACCAACGACCTCTGCTCCTTAAAAGGGGAAGTGAGATAGATTGGTTCAGGCTCTTCTCCCTAGGGACATGCAAAGCAGAGGCACTAAGGGCCTTTAGTGAGGCGGCACTCCTGCCTATGCCGAGGTTGCGGCCGGAGGCAGTCAGAAGTGGGCACCAAAATGGAAAGAAGAGCAATGCCTGGGCGTGTTTGAGAAGCGAGATATTAAAGGTCTCCAGCTTATTCTTGGGAGGGGCGCATTTCACAGCCAAGTTCAAATCGCTGTCTGGAAACTTCCATGTTTGTTAGTGGCTCAGGTGGAGTTGGGAGCTGAGAGTGTGGAAACATTGCAGATGGTGATGGTTGCACCTTACCGACTGCTACTGTCATCTAAGTACAGTCACGGATGTTTGAGAGGAGAATGCAGGAAGAGAGTGAGATATAGGGGTTTGCATGGGGTGGGGGTTTAGAGAGGAAGTAACAAACAGACTACAGAGGAAAGAAAGAGACTCATCTGTCCTAGACATGAACTAATTCTTTTGTGAACAATTAAAGTGAATCATTGTATGGCAAAAGATCAAATGACAAACATGCACGCAAACAAGTTTTAATGCCCCGTTCATAACATAATTAACTGGATATAAAGGCAGCCGTATCGTTCTCAAAGCAATGTAGTGTAGTATCCCATTTTCATTTCTGAAATGCACAATTGTATTATTGCTCTTTCCTCTCGCCGAACTTGATGAACCATGTTGACTTTACTCAACCTTATTTTCTGTTTCAAAAGAAGTTGTTAAATAATTTTGTAATTAAAAAATGGAAGGATAAAAATCATTACCAAAGTCTCCTCTGCAACAAAAACAAATTACAGGGAAAATTAATTTAACATATCCAATGCTTAGAGGTTACATACACATGTAAAATGAGTGTCAGATGGTAACTATGAAGCTTTGATGAGCTGCAGCACCTTTCAAAGGAACACTTCTTGTATAAGTTTCGGTGTTGGAGGGAGAGGCTGCAGGCTTCTGTGGGGATCACACCCAGATGACTGTGTTCAAACTCTTTGTAATGGAGTTTGCCGCAGGCTAAGCCAGAAAGAACCTGTAGCAATGTATAGTACTTGTGTCTGTTGGGAAAGTCAGTCCTGTCTGCAGTGAAAACAGAAGAGGGGTCGATACAGCCTTGACTATGAATAAAACACCTCAAGGGAATACAGTGGGTAGCAGTAGAGATGTATTACTGGAAAAAAAGAATAAAATGTTTTATATCCATCTCATTGATGAGAGAGCAAACGAGATGGTTCTTCAGTGCTTTGAGGTCCTTGGTGTCTAAGTGTGCTTGTAAATACCACGAAGTTAATTACAGGGCTGTTTTTTTTTTTTTTTTTTGAGACAGAGTCTCACTGTGTTGTCCGGGCTAGAGTGCCGTGGTGTCATCCTAGCTCACAGCAACCTCAAACTCCTGGGCTCAAGCGATCCTCCTGCCTCAGCCTCCCAAGTAGCTGGGACTACAGGCATGCGCCACCATGCCCGGCTAATTTTTTCTATATATTTTTGGTTGTCCAATTAATTTCTTTCTATTTTTAGTAGAGACGGGGTCTCGCTTTCGAACTCCTGAGCTCAAACAATCCGCCCGCCTCGGCCTCCCAGAGTGCTAGGCTTACAGGCGTGAGCCACCGCGCCCGGCCTCCACCAGGCCTGTCTTATTCCTAAATTAGATCAGAATCAGGTTATGCCAGTTTCTTATAACATACCATTATAATTGCGTACATTAAATGAATACGTTAGAAGTGCCAGAGAGACCTCATTATAACCCTTTTCACCCATGGATTCCAAGGATATCTTACAATGAGCCTCCAAGATAACCTTATGCTACAGAGCCAGTTTCAGGGCACAAGGGAAAATGCAGGGCATTGGGTATTGGGAACTACAAAAAATATCCAGACCTTACTTTAGAGCTAAAACTCTCTCCTTAATCTACCATATTTGTTGATAAATGATAAAATATACTGGCTCAAATTTTATTAAAATTATTTTTTGTGCTCATTCTCTAAGGGTGGGATGATAGAGGATGAGCAAAATATCAAAGGGGACTAAAAATACCCAACCAGATCCTCAGTTCCCAGAGTAGTGTTAACCACAGAGTCCTGCTGTCTTCCAAGGTCAGTGCTTCCTAGTGCAGCCTCCTGGGACTGTCTGAATTGCCCAACATTCCCTCTTTCTTCATCTAAAGATGCTGCTGAGGGGAAAGGGAGGAGAGGAAAGGGGAAGGCTGTGGCATAAGGTATGAAATATGCTTTTGGAAAAAAACAACTAGTAATTCCCTTGATAGAGTTTTTGCTTGGCTTCGAAATGTAGTAAGCTTTGGCAGCTGATGGAGCCTGAGTTTCTACCATTAGAGCTGCATTTGTTTGGCTTAAGATTTCATTAATATTTTTAAAATGGAAATACCTCTGGAACTCAAATGGCTATTGAGCAGGGAACAGCAAATCAGTGACATTGACCATAGGCAGTGGTGGGACTCTGGCCAACTGGAGAACACACCCCGTCCACAGGGGCAGCCACTGTTCCTATGCAGAAATCTGGATTTTGTGATTTTTTCAAAAGTCAGAAATCATCATTTTTATGAGAAATGTCTTGATTTTTATAGTGTTAGCAACTTATCCTACATTAAAAAAAAAAAGCAGCACAGAAAAGACCAAACAAAACACATCTATGGGCTGTATGCTTTCCATGGGCCACCAGTTTGCAACCTTTGTGCTGGACCTTACCATTCACTAGGTATCCCATTCAGAAAGAACTTATCACATCCTTTGCTGGAGCAGGTTTTCAGGTAGAGCAGAGAGAGACAGAAAGAAGAAATGCAGGGACACTCATACAGAGCTGTGAGTGGACAGAGAGGAGGCAAAGAGTGGTGAGGGGAGAGAAGAAGTGGTGAAAACTGCATTCATGATTCTGAGTGGACTGGGCCATGGGCCGGAAAGCCTGGTGGTGGATATGCTGCCTTTCCAACAGGTGAATATGAAAGAACAAGTCAAATCCTACTATTTCAAGATGCTGCTAATTCCAAATGTGAACTTGTTGAGTCATTCTTTCCATATGGAATTTATAAGAGAATGTAAAAAATATTTTTAGGGGGAATGTGCAATATCCCTGAAAGATAAATAAATTTGTAACACTTATTTACATAAAACAAAAGAAAGCTACTTATAGATAATTCTTTTCTAGTCATTGATTAAACACATTTCCAAAGACTTCTACAAGGCAACATTCCTTAATCTTGTTTGTTACGTATCTTTAAAAATATTTGATAACACATAACACATCGTTCTAGTTGTTTAGATGGATAGGACTTTTTAGCGAATTCTAAACGTGGGACTTCATTGTGTTGCATCGAACCTGCTCATGACCTTCAGGTGGGAGGCAAATAGGATTATCCCTCCCTCTCCCCCCCGCCATGGCTCGGTTCCCATTTCTTCCTGAGCTTATCACAATGTCGCCTCCTCACTTTCCCCAAAGGACAGCCTTTCCTACCTCAGGGAAGAAGAAAGATACAGACTACAGTGATGGAGACCTGGCAGACGTGCATGAGAAGCTGCCATCCAGTGCTGGAGAGGACCGAGCTGTGCTGCTAGGGTTTGCAATGATGGGCTTTTCAGTCCTCATGTTCTTCTTGCTTGGAACAACCATCCTAAAGCCTTTCATGCTCAGGTAAGAAACAGAAAGGAGATCCAGAGTTTCCAATTCAGATCAGATCCAGACACAATAGTAAAGGAGAGGAGGCTGCTTTGGTTTCTCCAGTCTCGGCCATCCTGATGCGGTCTAGGACAGGGAAGATACAATACCTGGTCCTCTCTCAGTGCTGGGCGGGGCTGGGTGTGAAGGAAGAGGCGGTAAGAAAGTTGAAGATATACCTTTCTTTCCTTCTGCCCCCCATCTCATAATACACATATAACAGAATCCACAGACTAGATACTCATTAGGTCATAAATTCTCCCTTTAAAATGTACATATTCCAGGGAAGGGTTAAAACTTGTATGTGAGCACAATAAAAGTTTTTGAGTCTGAGGTTTTTGAGTTTGATGATGTA